TGAGGTAGAAATCCATTCTTCTTCAGGTCATGCCAGAGTTTCTTCTCCCGAATCGCCAATTGATCTCTGATTGACTTGAAACTTGCGCCTATGCTTCACTTTATGTGCTAGGACCTGAAATGTGACAAAGGAACACAACCTAGCGTAAAATAGGCCAAAGAAGCAATAATGCAAGCTTAAACGATCAAGGAACAAAGGGGAAAACCTGTGCAAATATCGAGTCATCACCCACTCAAGACATTCAGCAAGTCCAAATAGTGTTGGAACTTGCCATGTGGAACCGGCTTCGTGAACATATCAGCAGGATTATCCGCGTTGCCAACTTTCTTCACCTTAATCCTCTTCTCTATCCTCAAGAAATGATACCTCACGTCGATGTGCTTAGTCCTCTCATGGTGGACTTGATCCTTGGCCAAGCATATTGCACTCAAACTATCGCAATACACCATTGTCTAATCATGATGTAGACCCAGATCACCAACCAGTCCCTTCAACCATATTCCCTCCTTAGCAGCTTCTGTCAACGCCATATACTCTGCCTCAGTAGTATACAATGTCACCGCCGACTGCAAAGTTTCCTTCCAGCTCACTACAGAACTCCCAAGAGTGAATACATAACCGGTCATCGATCTCCTCGTGTCAACATCTCCAGCATAGTCCGAGTCAGAATACCCAGACACCAAGCACTCTGTATCACTTCCGAAGCTAATCCCCACATCAGGTGTACCCTTAAGGTACCGGAAGATCCTCTTCACAGCCTGCCAATGCTCCTTCCCAGGTTGTATCATAAACCTGCTGACAACACTAACAACATGTGCAAGATCAGGTCTAGTGCATACCATAGCGTACATCAAGCTACCTACTGCACTAGCATATGGGACTCTCGACATGTACTCCTTCTCAGCCTCTGACTGCGGTGCATAAGTTGAGGATATATGAACATTTGAACCACTAGGAGTATTTAAGGGCTTTGCTGAAGACATGCCAAACCTCGACAGTATCTTCTGGATGTAGCTCTTCTGTGACAAGAAAAACTTCTTCTTCGACCTGTCCCTGTAAATCTCCATACCCAAGATCTTCTGAGCAGCTCCCAAATCATTCATCTCAAACTCAGCACTGAGAAGCCCCTTTAACTTCTGGGTATCAGACTTTGACCTTGCAGCTATGAGCATATCATCCACATACAGAACTAGATATATCATCAAACAATCCTCTGCCTTGCTGTGATATACACAACAATCATATGGACTTCTGTTGTAGCCCAGCTCAAGTATGTAACTGTCAAATCTCTTGTACCACTATCTCGGAGATTGCTTAAGTCCATACAAGGACTTCTTCATCTTACAAACATAGTCTTCTTTTCCCGGAACCTCGAATCCTTCTGGCTGAGTCATGTAAATTTCTTCCTCCAACTCACCATGCAGGAAAGCTGTCTTCACGTCTAGCTGCTCGAGCTCCAAGTCATAATGTGCCACTGTTGCTAGTAGCACTCTGATCGAAGTATGTCTGACCACTGGTGAGAAAATCTCATTGTAGTCAACTCCTTCCCTCTACGAGAAGCCTCGTGCAACCACCCGAGCTTTAAATTTCATGCCCTCTTTAGAAGTGATTCATTCCTTCTTCTTGTAGATCCACTTGTTTGTCACAATCTTCCTTCCCTGTGGTCGTTTGACTAGCTCCCAAGTCTGATTCCTGTCATGGGATTCCATCTCATCTCCCATTGCGGCAAGCCACTGATCAGCTTCACCACTTGAAACTGCTTCTCTATAGGACTTGGCTCTCCTGCATCCACTTCTTCAGCAACCTGAAATGAATACGCCACCATGTCCTCGAAGCCATACCTCAGTGGAGGTACTCCTATAGTCGCTCTCTTCGGTCTACCGGAAGCAATAGACTGTTGAGCTCGTGCACTGGACTCTAAAGTTTCTCGCTCTGCAGAGACATCCTCATCATGTTGATCTTCTCCACCTTGGTGCTCAAACTCACTCTCTTTGAGAGTTTGCAGCTCCACCTGTTTATCAACATTCCTGTTACCTTCAACAACAGTAACCTTCAACATGGGGTTAAACATAGACTTCTCATCAAATATCATATTTCTACTGAGTATAACTCGATGCTCAGAAGGTGACCAGACTCGAAATCCCTTAACTCCATCTCTGTAACCCACAAATACACCCTTCTTTACCCTTGGGTTCAGTTTACCCTCATCCACATGATAATAAACAGGACACCCAAAAACTTTCAGTGAAGAGTAATCAGCAGGTTTACCATACCACACCTCATAAGGAGTCTTCAACTCGATACCTATGTGAGGTCCACGGTTGATCAGGAAGCATGCCATGTTCACTGCTTCTGCCCAGAATCTTCTCTCTAGTCCAGCATTAGAGAGCATGCACCATGCTCTCTCCAACAATGTCTGGTTCATACTTTCTGCAATGCCATTCTGCTGGGGTGTATCTCTCACGGTCTGATGACAGGCAATGGTTCATAGCCTGATTTCCAGCCGCGGCACTGATACCACTTGTTATAAATGCGCTGCTACGGATCGGGAAATCGCCGGAATCGATAAAGCAAGAATACGAAAGCGAGAACCGAAAAACACAGACACACGATTTACGTGGTTCACTAACACGATGTGTGTTAGCTACGTCCACGGGCGAGAGAGAGCCAGTTTCACTATATCGAGGAGATTACAGATTACAGAGGAGTATGAGAAGTATTTATAGTACTTTTCCATTTGGGTCTAAACCTAATCCAATTTGGCAAAGGAAACGGTTACAGACCAGGCCCAGAACCCGAACCCAAATAACATTGAGCCCATACACCGTGGGCCAGGGGCGTTGCTCCTCCGTCGAATTTCACCGCCAGCTCCAGGGATTACGACGCAAGGCATCACCAATTCAAGAAGTCCAAGCCGAGAGGGAAAGAGAGGAGGAGCAGAAGAAAAAGGTTGGGGCTGTGGGTCCATGCAGCAGAGAAGGAGCGACGGAGGTGGGAGTGAGGTGGAGTTAATAATTTGTGTGCTTTAGCGAATTAAAATGAATATTTTTATTTTTCATTTTAGTGGTAGTGATAATGAGGTAGAAATTTTGATTTTGATTCTTTTTTAATGGCCATGTCATATATTTAACGGTCAACTTTGAGAGTTGACAGTCACATCAGACAAAGTTAACGGAGTTGGACGGAGAGTGGCCAAACTTGAATTGTTCTACTAAATCTAGTGACTATGAATTGATTTAAATATTTCGAGTGACCAAACATGAGCGTTTTTCGTAATCTCAGTGACCAAACATGCAATTAACCACATATTATTACACAAATTTGATCTTACATACGATATTGTATTTTCGGAAAGAACTAAACATTGCTACTTTGGAGTCAAAAATTAGCCGCCGGTCATCAAACTTCTACGCATATATACGACCTTCCCAGCAAAAGGACACCAATAAGGTCACCAAGACAATACAGGCCACACAGTTACGTTGAATCTAGCAACTTGAATTGAAGGTTGGCAGGCTATTTTGAGGGATCCACCCCCGCAGAGTTGTTCAAGAAATTGATCGATGTAGCTTAGCTTTTTGTTGTATGGTTTTGTTTTGCTCCACTCACTTTTTTTTTCATTATGCATTCACCTTATAATTATTATTTTAAGTAGGCGAATTATGTGAAAACGATGTTAATCGTTACTTGTAGTATGATAGAAAAAAAATACATAAATTTATACAAAAATCATTTCAGATTTACTTTAATTTGAATGTTTAGGATTTACGAATTTAGGGTTACAATTTGGGGGTTTGGGTTGAGATTCAAGATGGAAGGTTAAGGAGTAAGGGTAATGGATTGATTAGTAGTGATTCTATGTTATATCATCATATTAAACTAATGCTACTAATTTACGTTCAAATTCGATCTATTATGGTTCATAAAGGCTAGAGTATATCTTGCATACGCTATACGCCTGCGTTAAAACTTATTACTTGTACTTCAATAATTTCGATGAATCAGAACCGTTGATTTTCATTTTAAGATTAAATGAATCTTATGGTTTGGGTTAGAGAATTAAGGAATATGGTTCACCCATTAAAGGTTAGAGTATAGGAATCATGTCTCAAACTCCGATTAATTTATGGTTTAAGTAACAAAACTTGACGGGCATACAGTAAAGTAAGCATACACTTGTCGTACGCTAGTCTAAGCAATATACATATAAGTAGTGTATTTTAATTTCTTATTGGTTGTTGCATTTGAGTCATAAATGATTTATTTATTTGGTTTTGTTGACTATATAGGTTGCTGAATTGTTACATAGATAGGGGGTTGTTGAATTGTTTGATTAGTATAAGAAAGTCTCTGTCTGTTATTTTCTTTATAATATCAGAACTTTTTCGATAAGCAATAATGGTGCATCTAATTTATTGGGTTTATTTTGATGAATGATAATGGTTAATTATTATTTTATTTAAATTAATTTCAGTAAATATTATTTAGAGAATAAAGACATGAATTTTAATATATAATGGTTAGAGTATAATACCGTGTCTCAAACTCCGATCAATTTAATATCTAGATAAAAACAATTTTACTCAACATATGTTGTACTCCAAATTTACGATGAATACAGTAGAACTCCCTGGTAATGGATACATGCAGACTAATGATACAACCTTGGCGTACTCCATAATGGGGAGAATGGGGAGAAACAAAGTTCTTTTTTTCTTTTCCCACTTTTTCTGAATAAAAACACTGCTGCAGCGTTGAAGCAGCCAATTAAGCAAAGGCAAGAAAAATAGTAACATGCCTTTAATTCATTATTGTCGTGAATTGACTTTTCCCTTGTCGCCGACGGAGAATGGTGGTCGATTGAGACAGTAAAGCCGCCCCTAGATGAATGGATGGAGCTTAACAACGAAGAAGGCATGCATGGTTCAGACACTTGAACACCAGCCCGGCCTATAAGTATCGTCGTGCCCATGCAACAATCCCTCATTCATACACAGCAATATTACTTCATAATACCCACAACATAACAGTTTCATACTCTACAACGTCAGTTCAAGTTCTAAGCACAAAATATAGAGAAAACATCGATCATGAAGGTTGGAAGTTTGCAGTTGGTCGTTGCGGTGCTGGCTTTGGCCACTGCACTGACCGTGGCCTACGATCCAGCCATCCTCCAGGATTTCTGCGTTGCCGTCAAGGACCGAACCTCTCCTGGTATATATTATGAATCCCCTTTAATTTTCCCCATCTCACCATTTTCTCACATTTCGTTATATAACTCATCACGTATTGATTCTTTCAACAGATTCTGTGTTTGTGAACGGGATAGCATGCAAGAACCCATCCCTGGCAACAATCGACGACTTCACCCACTCGGGCCTGAACGTGCCCCGTGACACCAACAACAAAATCGGCGCCAATCTGACGGTCGTCGACACGACCGTGATCCCAGGAATCAACACCCTGGGGATCAACCTCGTCCGGATCGACCTCGCGGCCAACGGCGGGCTCAACCCTCCCCACGAGCACCCTCGGGCCTCCGAGATCCTGATCGTGGTGGAGGGCACGCTGTACGCCGGGTTCGTGGCGACGAACCCGGAGCACAGGCTCTTCGCTAAGGTTCTGGGTCCTGGGGACGTGATTGTGTTCCCCGTGGGGCTTATTCACTTCCAGTACAATATTGGCAAGACGCCAGGGCTGGCCTTTGCGGCGCTGGGAAGCCAGAACCCTGGGATCATGAGTATTGGGAATGCGATGTTTGGGGCTCAGCCGCCGATTATGGGTGAGATGCTGGCCAAGGCTTTCCAGTTGGATAAGAAGGTTGTGGCTGGCCTCCAAAGCAAGACTTGGATTAATCCTGAAGGGGACAACTGAATTGAGATTTGATGGGTATGGGTGAGCTGTGTTACTGGCTTGGGAGAAGGGAGAATAAGGCGGAAGGAAATGTCCTCACTATTTGATTTCAGTTTAGTTTGTTGTTGTGCATGCACTTTGAATTCGATGTTTTGAATAATAATGACAATAAAGTTCCCATGGGTATTTCGTTTTGGGTTAATACCTTGTTATGGCTTGAACTATGACCATGTAATCAACTTTGGCCAGTGGTTTGAGAAATTAACATCCTGGCCCGAACTATGCAGCATATAGACAAAATTGGCCTGGAGCGTGGTTTGACCGTTTATTTGGACGGTCAACACCGTTGACCGTTAGTCAACTGTCCAGGTCACTGCCATGTCAGCATAAAAAAAATTATAATTTTATTTTTCTTTTTATTTCATTTACAAAATTGAATAATTAAAAAAAAAACACAAAAACAAAAACTTTTGGCCCACCCATCCCCACCTTATTCCCTCAACTTCTTTCCTTTTTGATCAGACCCAAACAAACCCTATCTTCCATCTTCTTCCTCCTTCTTCCCCGACGAGCCGTCGCCTCCATTCTCTCCGACTTCAAATGCAGCGGATCAGGTGATGAGTTACAGTTTGGAGGTGGCGAGAACTGGTGAAAGAAAACCCAGTTTCCCCTTTGAAACCAAAGAACATAACTTTGTGAGGGGAATCGATGGATTCTTTTACCTTGATTTCTCTGAAAGGGATGAGCAAGCTCTTCTCGAGCTTGGAGTCGAGACCCAGCAGCCTAGCTGCTAGCTTGAAGTTTCTGTTGGTTGCTGCTAATGCATTCATGGTTCCCTCTTTTGTTCTGATCAAAGCCCAGAGAATACGAGAGATCAAAAGGGAGGGGGATAAAGGATCGGCACACGAAGGTGGATGGGCGGAGGATCTGTATGCCGGCGGCCTGCGCGGCTAGGGTTTTCCAATTCACGAGGGAATTGGGGCACAAATCGGACGGGGAGACAATCGAGTGGCTGCTGCAGCAGGCGGAGCCAGCGATTATCGCGGCGACGGGTTCGGGTACAATCCCGACCAATTTCTCCACGCTGAATGTCTCGCTGAGGAGCGGCGGCGGATCTAGCCTCTCGGCGCCTCCGTCGAAATCGGCGCTGCCGCACTCGTTTCACGGAGCGCTTGCTCTGGCGGCCGCGCAGCAGCAGCATTACGAGGAAGGGTTTGCCGCCGCGCACCCGACGCTTCTAGGGTTCCACCACCAGCACCAACACCAGCATATGTTGTCGGCGGATCAAATTGGGGAAGCTCTGCCCAGCGCCAGCGGCGGAGAAAGCGGAGGAAGGGCGGATTCGGGGGAGAATTACAGGAAGAGGTTTAGGGAGGATTTGTTCAAGGATGAGAATCATCAGCAGCAAGAAGGCGGAGAGAGTAGCGGCGGCGGCGCAGAGGGAGGAGACGGCAGGGGATCTCCGAATAAAATCCCCAAACAACAGCAGGAAGCAGGGCCAGCGTCATCGCCGTCAGCCTCTTCTCCGCTACTCCGTCCATCCAACAGCAGGAAACAAGAGATAGGGTTTGTTTGGGTTTGATTGAAAAGGAAAGAAGGTGAGGGGATAAGGTGCGGATGGGTGGGCCAAAAGTTTTTGTTTTTTTAATTATTCAATTTTGTAAATGAAATAAAAAGAAAAAAGAAATTATAATTTTTTTATGCTGACATGGCAGTGACCTGGACAGTTGACTAATGGTCAACGGTGTTGACCGTCCAAACAAACGGTCAAACCACGCTCCAGGCCAATTTTGTCTATATGCTGCATAGTTCGGACCAGGATGTTAATTTCTCAAACCACTGGCCAAAGTTGATTACATGGTCATAGTTCAGGCCATAACAAGGTATTAACCCTTTCGTTTTCGAAGGATACTTAATTATTAGTGATTTTTTTTCTTTTATAATGGTGAACTCTTTTATTAATTAAAAGGAATTGAGTCCTACCAAAAAAAAAAAAAGGAATTGAGAAAATCGAAAGGACAAAAGACAAAAGAAAGGGTACAAGACCCAGAAGCCGGGATCAAAGGGATCCGAACAAAGGCTGGGGGATAAGTATCCAGGTCACGGCAGAGAAGTTCAGCAGAGACTCCCCAAACCCACCAAACAAACTGCCAATTCTAAGAGTGGAAGGGAAGCTTATAAATTGAATTGACCATCACAGCAGACCCATTTGCCCAGCCAAGAGACTCAGAAGTAAACTTCCTCTGTATGCTCTGCTTCTACTGAAAATCCAAACTTGTTGTTAGGTGTAATTACCAACTTCTTCAGCAGCAAACTCCCTCTGTGATTCAAATTGATTGCCCATTTCAGTTTTGGTTGCACGCTTGTTTCACATAAACGCCTTCTTGCACATGCCACCCAATCCTCTGCAATCTTTCTTTCCACTTTGTTTGATACCATAAGCCACTTTTCTATCATATTCGCGATTTTATATGCAACTATGTTCTCTGTCGATGATGAGCCTTCAAATATTCTTTTCTTTCTCTCTGCCAAATACCCCAACAGACGGCATGGAGTATTGAATTTGTGCACCACTCTTTTGGGTTATCCTGTTTTCGCCTCGGCCATGATTGGATTGCCTCTGTTATGTCGTTTGGAACTATCCCAATGCACACGAGCGGTCGAAGTAGATTCCAAATTGTTGATGCAAAGCTGCAGGTGATGCAGATGAGAGTCGCGTCCTCCTCATTAGCAGCACATAGGACGCATCTGCTCGAAAGGTTCCATCCTCTCTTCTTCGGGGTTTAGACCGATCGAACCGAATTATAATTCGGTGCAAATGCCTACTCCCACAACAGGTGCAACAAAAAAAGACACATGTTTTAGTTGCAATCGCAAAATGTTTGGTAGTCAACTGATACGGGTAGATTTGGATAGCTCCCTTTTCTTGGCGGGAGTAGACCAGGTTTCTCCTTTTTTGGCGAGAATGGCCAGGGGTTTCTTGTTTTCTGAAATTGCTTACCGTTATTTATTACGTTCTCAACTTAAATACACAAAAACTTAAAATGAAAAGTCATATCTAAGTGGAACTAATCCCACGTCTACCTAAGCTAACCAACTAACCATAAGATGCTAAACTCACTTCCCCTATTATGCAAACACTCCTAAAGACTCTAACAAACAGAGGACTCTAACAATCCTACTTACCCATTAACACCACTAACTAGAATTATCAATAAGTGCAAATCCCTACAACGACAAGCTTGCTACACGGCTTAAGGCCTAGTGCCTCTGTGAACTGGGCTACTCCTCATCGTTATGATAGGTGTTGGGCTACGATACTCGAACTGAATGATTTATGGGCTCATCACTACCAACCCCTGAAAACGGCCTTGTCCTCAAGCCCGAGCTTAATGAAGCGATCATCGACAACGGAGGCCAACCCGCAAATAGTGTCATTGATGAAATGCTCCAACAACCGATTCTAATCTTGACCGACGCTAACTTCCGTGAAGCATAAGAATACGAACGCATCAAGCAACGGATCGTTGTTCAGTAAGTAGATACGTAAGTCGATAAGCTCAGGAGGGGGTGCTCTTGATACGTGTCCATCCTTGAACCGTAACAGTCAATTGGTCTGACCCATAAGTCGACCCAGATGGCTGATCCTGCCCATCCATCACCTCCTTCAGCTCGTTCAACCCTTTGTTGCTCGTTCATCCGCTCTCTGAATTGTACCATTCGCCTAATCACAACGTTTTTCCCAACCAGCGCTTTCGCTTGTATGTCTTGTTGTCAAAGTCTTTGTCAAGGTAGCAAAAATCAAAAGCACAGGCCATGGCTTCTTTCATCACCGATGACTCCAGCCTCCCTTGTCGAAGTATATTATTGTCTCCCATCTCTGCGGTTGTAGCTCCGTCTCGACCCTTCTTTCTTCTTTTCCACCAATAAAGGAAGTCACCATCAACACCAAACATTCCTAGAGAAGTCTCACGTTTCTTCCTAAATCTCCAAGGGTTTATTTGACCCAATATTCTTCTGCCTCTATTGTAAATAACACAATTGGTGGTTATTCTGATACCCAGTGATAGGACGTACCCATTTATTTGTCGTGGACGACCCTTAACCAACAAAGTTTGCAGCTTTCCCACATGAAGATGCTTTACGTCGAGGCTTGGTGAAAAAGGAGCGGTTATGGCTGCTGGTTCAAGTGGTGATTCCAGCTCAATGACAATCGATGGCAGGTCTGCTGTGTGCACAGGGGACGCGATCGGCGAACTCACTAAGTTTTCAATCTGCGGCGGCAGTGGAGCAATGTCAACAGCAACAATAGCGGTAGGCATCGACAGTAGTGGAGCGATGACCAGTGGTGCAACGGGGCTTGGTTGTGTGTGATCTTTGCGGCTTCCATGGAGGTGAGGGTTTTGAATTGCAGCGGCAGTGGTTGGGAGACACTAGTCGGCGCGACAAGAGGAAACGACGACAATGACAACGGCTGTACAGGCTTTGCGCCAACAGCATCTTCTTCCTCGTCCTCTACAAACTCGACTAGAGCTTCAGCTTGCAACGATGGCGGTGCGGGTGCTATAGGTGGGATGGCGATCTCCGCCTTTTCCATGGCGGCCAGGGTCTCAACTCGCAGCGGCGTTGGTGTTGATGCTGGCATGTGTTTGTCATTTCTTGAGGACAGAGAAGAGGATTAAGGTGAAGAAGGTTGGCACCGCGGATAATCCTGCTGATATGTTCACGAAGCCGGTTCCACATGGCAAGTTCCAACACTGCTTGGACTTGCTGAATGTCTTGAGTGGGTGACTCCGCCCTACGGGGCATTGATGGCGGGAGAGAGAGAAGGAGCAGAGTACATCAGCAATTTCAGAGGAAGAGGATTCAAGTCAAGGTGGAGATTTGTTGATGTGACTTGAATCGGACTATCAGCCGCTACGACTGGTAATCGGGGCCTGGTTTGTAACCGTTTCCTTTGCTAGATTGGATTAGGTTTAGACCCACATGGAGAAGTACTATAAATACTTCTCATACTCCTCTGTAATCTGTAATCTCCTTGATATAGTGAAACTGGCTCTCTCTCGCCCGTGGACGTAGCTAACACACATCGTGTTAGTGAACCACGTAAATCGTGTGTCTGTGTTTTTTCGATTCTCGCTTTCGTATTATTGCTTTGTCGATTCCAGCGATTTCCCGATCCGTAGCAGCGCGTTTATAACAAGTGGTATCAGAGCCTGGTTCGGTTCGGGGCGGTGGACGTCAGTTTGGTGGACCCTCATTCTGTGGCCTCGGGATTTGCGATTCGCGTCTGTTTGGTGGATCCACGAGAGATCCACGTTTGGGCTTTGGCGAATCAAAGAGAGTTTCACATTTGGGAAGCAGATCAAAGAGAGTTCTGCGTCTGGTAAAGTCCTTGTACCGAGAAGCCCATCGATACGAGGCGTCTGGCGGATCAAGATAATCGCTGAGGAGAGGACACGAAGTTCGTGGTCCTTGTCTTGAGAGGAGGATTGTTATGATACAATCCAAGTACCACATCGAAAATACAAGGGAATGAATCCTTGTATATAAGTGTCCACCTAGCCCAATTAGTACGAGGCCTTTTGGGGAGGACACCCAAGAATAAAAACCGTGCGGGCTTGGCCCAAAGCGGACAATATCGTACTAATTGAGCACCCCGGTTTGACAAGTGGTATCAGAGCCGCGGCTGGAAATCAGGCTAGGGTTTTCGATTCAGAAGAATGACGTCGGTGAACATGAAGATCGAAAAGTTCACGGGGAAGAACAGCTTCGCTATATGGCAGATCAAGATGCAGGCATTATTAAAACAGCAAGGGCTGTGGGGGCCGCTGTCTGCGAAACAGAAGAAGGCAGCGGTCGATGACGATGAGTGGAATACCCTGGAGGAGAAGGCCCACTCGACTATCATGCTATCGTTGTCTGATGACGTCATCATTGAAGTCGCTGATGAGAAGACTGTCGCGGGCTTGTGGTTAAAGTTGGAGAGTCTGTATATGACGAAGTCCTTAACCAACAAGCTGCATCTCAAACAACGGTTGTTTAGCTTGAGGATGCAAGAAGGTACGCCTTTGAGGGAACATCTCGAACAGCTTAACTCTATTTTGCTGGATCTGCGTAATATAGATGTTCAAGTTGATGACGAGGATGCTGCCCTAATCCTGCTGGTTTCTTTGCCGAGTTCATATGAGAATTTCGTTGATTCTTTTATTGCTGGTAAAGAAAGCGTGTCGTTGGAGGATGTCAGGTCTGCTCTTCATACGAGAGAGATCAGACATAAGGCGTCCGGATCTGGTACAGTTGGTGAGGCATCGGGTTTGGCTGTTACAGGTGGAAAGGGAAAGAAGAAATCTGGAAAAGGGAATTCGAGCAAGAATTCCAAGGGTCCCGGTCCACAGCTAGGTGATGCTTGTCACAACTGTAAGGAAGTGGGGCATTGGAAGTACAACTGTCCCAAGAGAAGAGGGCAACAGAAGAAACAAGGTTCAGTTGCCGTGGCAGAAGTGGACAACAGTTCTGAAGACGATCTCGCCTTGGCTGTAGATGAGAAGGCACATCATGGGGATGTGTGGTTTCTGGATA